AGTATTTACTGTCTCGCTGGGCGAGACAGCAAATTTACTGTCTCGCTGGGCGAGACAGCAAACACTGTCTCGGCCAGCGAGACAGCAAACACTGTCTCGCCCGCCGAGACAGCAAATGCTGTCTCGCGAGCACTGTTCATCCAGAGGGTTATAAATACCCCCCGAAGGCCATTTTCACAAGGGGCTGGGAGCAGAGATCCAAGGCTGATCATTGAGAGCAATCCAGAGCAATCCAGAGCAGAGAGAGAGCAGAGGTGCTGATCTTACGGCCAATCCTTGATAATCAGGCTTTGACTTGATTTCAAGAAGAACGACTATCTTACATCGATAAGATATCGTTTCAATTTCTCACTTCGATAAACGAAGTCAGAATCATAAACCCCTCACGGTTCAATCAGAATCTGTGATTTGGTGGTCCACGAGTCAAAGCGCTCCCGGCACAGGCAAAGATCCCACGAAAGCAGTGATCCAAACAACGATCCTGCGTTTATTTTCTCAAGACATCAACAGCTGGGAGGACCTGGAGAGCATGTTCCTCACTCATTTCTTCGATGATGATGCTGAAGTGTCGATCAGGACACTCTTCGATGAGAAACAAAAAGACGGAGAGTCGGTGGATACCTTCATCAAACGCTTCCGCAATCAGGCAATGAACTGCAAGGATCCCATCACGGAGGAATTCATCTTGCAGACTTGTCATAACAATTTGTCCATTAACATCTTGGATGTTATGGGAGTAGAGCTGCTCAAGACATGGAAGGATTTGAAGGCCCGAGGAGAGCAAGCCGAACGATTCCTCAAAAGAAAGAAGGCCGAGAGGAGCCAACCGATGGCTAATTCTCCGAACTCGAACTTCGCCTCTCGTGATAGGGGCAAGGCACCTGCAGTGGCTGTTGATCAAACGTCAAAACAGCAGTCCCGAAGACAGCAGAAGACTTCGGATCAAAAGGCCCAGAAAGAGTACTCGTTCAAGGACGAAGACGTTCCCGCCATCTTCGAGTCTCTTCTCGAAAACAACAAAATCAAGCTCCCGCCCATCACGAATCAGGAGGAAGCTGAAAATACTACGGATCCAAAGTACTGCGCATACCACAGGAGGATCCTTCATCCCACCAAGGCTTGCTTTACTTTAAAGAATAGCATCCAGACCTTGGTTGAAGCCGGCGTCATAACGCTAGGATAAGCCAAATGAGAATGGAAAGACTCCAAAGGGTATACGAGTATAAACTGTTTCTCAACACTCCGACAAGTATAAGAGTATAAACTGCTCCTTCCATGACTCCAAAGGGTATACGAGTATAAACTATTTCTCAACACTCCGACAAGTATAAGAGTATAAACTGCTCCTTCCTACACTCCAAAGAGTATATGAGTATAAACTGCTTCTTAATCCTCCGACCGGTATAAGAGGTTAAACTGCTTCATGACACTCCAATAGGTATATGAGTATAAACTATTTCCTTTCTTTCACGGGAAATTCCTGGAGAATTTTATACGTAATATTCTTAAGGATAACCCGATCATGCAACCAAATGCAATAATAAACCCAGTTTCGCGAGGAAGCTGGGGGTGGATGACTCATGTAACGGGAAGTTCCCGGAAGAATACTATATGTAATTTTCTTAGGGATAACCCAATCATTACAAATTAGGTGATAAGCACTAAACCCCCATTGTGATTTGTATGAGTCAACACTCCCGTTGTAAGTTGTACTCTCACTCTCACCTCTCACTTGGTCAAACCTTCCTATAGTTAGGGCCACAACCAAAGTCCCCTCTCGATTCCTTCCATGAACGAGAAAATTGAGCGATCAAGCCTATAAAAGGTAAGATCGTCTCAAACCTCCCATTCCCAATGCTCCCTTGGTCAAACCTATAAAAGTTAGGGCCAAAGCCAGATTCCCCTCTCGGTTCCTTCCATGAACGAGAGGTCCACTTTCAAATCGAGTGATCAAACCTTCCTACAGTTAGGATCATCTCAAACTCCCGCATGGTCAAACCTTCCTACAGTTAGGACCAAAACCACAATTCACTCTCGATAAACGAGAAATTTATCTTTAGTTCGGTAATCAAACCTTCCGACAGTTAGGATTATTCGAATCTTTTCGATTCTCGGAGTGGAGATCCCACTCCTAGTTTTAACTTTCTGGATTCTGAGGGTGGAGATCCCACCTCGAGTCTCCTTTCTAACTGGAGATAGAATATAAAATTCTTCATCTTCAGCTTTGGGAGATAGAATATAAAATTCTTCCTCTCCCGCATCGGGTTCGTCTTTGCCCCAAGAGAAGACAGCACTTTTTTAACTCCCAAAATCCGTGCCTCACAGGTACGGGGAATTTTATCCCGAATCCTAAGTAGGGATAAGTCAGCGCCTAATACGCGTTGCCGGTTAGTCTTTGACCGTAAAAAGGACAAAAGACCACATATTCAACATTGTGGCAGGTTATTATTAATAACACCAAAATCCATGCCTTACACGCATGGGGAATTTCATCCTGAATCCTAATTATTAATAACACCATAATCCGTGCCTCACACGCACGGGGAATTTTATCCCGAATCCTAAGTAGGGATAAGTCAACGCCTAACACGCGTTGCCGGTTTAGTCTTTCACCGAGTGAAAAAGACACCAGAGTATAATTCTGGGGAATTTTATCCCGAAGCCTAAGCAGGGATAAGTCAACGCCTGACACACGTTGCCGGTTTAGTCTTTTACCGATTGAAAAAGACACCAGAGTATAATTCTAGAGACCTTCATCCCGAATCCTAAGTAGGGATGAGTCAACACCTAACACGTGTTGCCGGGTAGCCTATTCCCGTAACAAAGGCGAAGCCTATGTATTCGAAATCATAGCATAAAGTCTCAGAGAATTCGCTCTCTTAGCATAACGTTACATGCGGAACGGATTCAGACAATCCGCATGCTAGCCCGATTTCAAACGGTAATCGGTAAAGGCACATCAAACCCGTTGAAGGCTGGGGGAGAGGTATATCCACACTGAACTCGCTCAGCATCATAGGTAAGATGCCAAGACATCTGTCGCTCCACGGCCTGTCCCTCCAAATGGGTGAAAGAATATTGACGAGGAATGGAGGGAATATACAGGAGAGCTCCCTCATGAAGATTCAGCCAATGCTCCTCAGTAAGAGTCAACGTAGCAGGATCCTCCGTGTGATCCCCGAACAGGAAACCGGGCTTCTTTAAAGCCTGAGTGGAAGTAGAATCTGCAGTGAAGGAGGCGTCCGTAATCAGCTGGCGTAAGCAATGACGCCCTCCATCCCGTATCAAACGACAGGATTCGTCGGAGCGATCTCTGTCAAACTGAGGGAGTGGACTAACGGCCTGCCTAATGGAAGCTGAAGAGAAGACCTCCCGGCTACAACCAGTATTAGCATGAGGAGGAAGGCTGCCCGCGGGGAACTCGACTGCAACAAAACACAAGGATAGAGTCAGAAAGCTCATAAAAAGCGAGATAAGATCAGTCACGGGATAATTGGAGAGACGATTTTGAGTGTCCTACACTGGAAGAACGGTATGCATCATCACGTAAATAACGTGGTAACATACACCGACCTATAAGGTGTAGGACGACACAAAATCGCCCCAATATACCAGAAGACTTGAATTAGCCAAGCAAGGCAAGTCCGAAACCTCGACCCCCGCGAAGGAGGGTGTCGGCCCTTCCCGAATGACCCGCGAAGGGGCCAAATGAGGGTATGACAAAACCACCAAGTTCGAAACCTCGACCCCCGCGAAGGAGGGTGTCGGCCCTTCCCGAATGACCCGCGAAGGGGCCAGACGAGGGTATAACAGAACCACCAAGTCCGAAACCTCGACCCCCGCGAAGGAGGGTGTCGGTTCTTCCTTCATGACCCACGAAGGGATCAATCGGGGATACAAAAAATAAAAAAAATTCCCACCCCCAAAAAAGGAAGCTGCTGGAGGGGAGGATGCTGCGGGAACTTCTTCCTCGCTAGGCTGCGAATGGGATCGACTCCTAGGAAGTCGAGATCGGCGTGGAGGCATCGGAAACCTGCAATGAAAAGCAGCAAGTCAGATACAATCTAAAATATGAATACGCGAAATTTAAAAGGGAAATTAAGAACTTTAATTAAAATCCTGTGTATAAATAGGATTTTATAGTTGAAGTCTAATTAAACCTACAAATTTCGCGCATGCGAAACAATGATTGTCATTTTCACGGTAAATTTTGGTGAAATACCTAAAATACCCTTCGTGTTCAAGGCTAAATTCGAGTCAAGGACACACTCGAGTTGGGTCATGGTCATCATACCTGATCACATAGCACCCCCAGTACCCCACAATTTTGGTTAATTTTGCAAATAAGCCCTTTTGTAGAATTTAGCCAATTTTACAAAAGACCCTCCACAAATTTCGGTTTGGTTTCCACATGCTTTTATCAAAACTTTGGTCATAGGTTTGTGATCTAAACTTTTGGAATTTCAGCCCTAAAATTCCAGTCCTTTTGCAAATAAACCCCCTATATACTTTGTGGGTTGCTCTTTTGCAAATAAATCCCTCAAACCACATTGAACCAAATTTACACATACACCCCCCAAAATTTCAGCTATATATTTGCATAAAAGCCCTTCAAATTTCAGTTTCATATTTACACATACACCCCCAAAAATTTTAGCCATATATTCGCACAAAAGCCCTCCAAAATTTCGGCCTCAAAATTTGCACATAAACCCCCTAAAATTCAGTCTCAAATTTGCACACAAACCCCCAAAATTTCAGCCCTAATTTCGGCCAAATACCCTCTCAAATTCCCCAAAATTTGCACACAATCCATCTCCCAAATTTCGGCCATATGTATATGCATGAAATTAAGAATGTAGTGAAATCAAAGGTGAGGGCCCCAAAAAAAAAAAAAAAAAAAAACAAAATTCGGTTTTTTGCCCAAATCCAAGAACTAGGGTTTCAAATATTGAATCAAAACATGAGAAACTAACTAGAATCAAAGCAAAGGAATAGAAGCCATGAAAAGAAAGTTTACCCAAGTTCTTGAAACTTGAAGGAGGAAGAAAGGTCCAAATAGCCGAAACCCTAGATTTGAATCTCCTCCTTTGCTCGAATCCAAGTGGGAAGAAGAGTTTGAACACTTGAAGAGGGAAGGGAAAGGCTTTAAAAGGGAAGAGAGATTTGGAAGTCTTGAAGAAGAAGAGTTCTTGGGGATAGAAAAAAGGGGGGGGGGGGGAGGGGGCGGAACTGTAGAAACCGAAGCAAAAAAAAAAAGAAGAAATGGGGAGGGGACGAAATTCTTACTGGAACCGGAAACAAAAAAAAAAATGAAAAAAGGAGGCGGAACCTAGCTGCTGGAACCGAAGAAAGAAAGGAAAAGAAGAGGAGAAGGGGAAATCGGCTTTATATTGGACATTTTTTTTTCTTGTTTTTGTTGAACCGAACCGGCCTGAACCAGACCGGTCTGAACCGAAACCAAACCTAAATTGTTGATTCATACGCGTGTGGGCCGTGAAATGTGGGCTCGCGCGTGTGGAAGGGTCCGGGGATAATTCATATGCATTTTGAACCTCTTTTCGGATGTTTTTACGACGTATTCAACACTCGTATTTATACCCCGATGAGAATACGAGTCTAAACTATTTCTCACAATTGACGGGAAGTTCCTGGAAAATATTATGTAAGGATAACCCGTCAACCTCCGACGGGTACACGAGGCTAAACTAATTCCCGAAACTCCCAAGAGTACACGAGTATAAACTGGTTGATCAACTTGTAGCCCTAGGTCAACGACGGTCAACGCGTTGCAATGAGAGTCAACGCTGATCGATTCGAAACCCTAAGGTCAACGCCGGATCAACGCGTAGCCCTAGGTCAACGCCGGTCAACGCGTTGCAATGAGAGTCAACGCTGATCGATTCGAAACCCTAGGGTCAACGCCGGTCAACGTGTAACCCTAGGTCAACGCCAGTCAATGCGTTGCGATAAAAAGTCAATATTCGACGTTCGAAACCCTAGGGTTAACGCCGGTCAACGTGTAACCCTAGGTCAACGCCAGTCAACGCGTTGCGACAAAAAGTCAATATTCGACGTTCGAAACCCTAGGGTCAACGCCGGTCAACGCGTAACCCTAGGTCAACGCAGTCAACGTGTTGCAACAAAAAGTCAACGTTCGACGTTCAAAACCCTAGGGCCAACGCCGGTCAACGTGTAACCCTAGATCAACGCCAGTCAACGCGTTGCGACAAGAAGTCAACATACGGTGATCTGAAATCCTAGGTCAACACAATGTGACGGAGGTAGTTCAAAGTCAACTCAATGACACGAGCCAAACTCAATTCATCAGCTGTAGACTCGAGACTCCGACGACGGCCAGGCGCTAAACGCAGTTCGTCAAAGCATCGAATAGACCGAAAATCGAAGGAGCCAAGAGTTGAAGCTAACTACAGGTCCTTTACGCCGACTGAAGGCTGGACCAATCACATCCAAAGTATTCTAGCCTCTTCTATAAAAGAAACGAGTCCGGAACGCTTTGGAGGGGGTATCTGTAGGCATCGAAAATTGCCTATAGGTCTCCACGAACAGCTCAGTGTTAAGGAACGACAATGAACGTCACTATCTGGTTCACAGGAGTTCGATTGACGTCGGTGAACGCTTGAAGTGAATCGACGAACTACGTGAGCTGACAGAATTTCGGAATAACGAAGGCACAGGCTAATCGAGAGCCCCGCGATGTTTACAAAAAGAACAACGCCTTTCGTGTCTCGTTCGTTCTACGGATAATCCAACCATCGGGGCTGATAGAACTCTTCGTCAGAATTCCAACGCAATTCGAATCACTAAAATCCGAGTTCGGACGAAGAATTTACCCCAGGGGTGTCCTAGATTTTTGGGGACGCCCCGGGGGTGTCCTAGATTTTTGGGGACGTCCCGGGGGTGTCCTAGATTTTTGGGGACGCCCCAGGTGTGTCGCCTATAAATAGAAGCCTTAGGCCTCACTTTTTGGGGATCTGGATTTTTGGAGAATTGACGAAGCCCTGCTGGAGTGAAGAGTGATCGAGCACTTCAACACAAGAGAGTTCTTCATCAGATCTACATCACCCGCATCCGTTCCTTAGCATTACCCCTCGTCGGTAATCCTAAGAAGAGCAAATATCTCGCTTTATCCGAGATAGGCGCTCCAAGTTTCTAGATCTCCTCGCGGATCGACGAAGCTCTGCCTAATTTTTCTGAATTAGATCTGATTGCCAGGTAGTCCACGGATATCGACGTCCCCATCACAGGCTAAAGACCCACGCAAGCAAGAGACGATAAACGGATCTTGTGTTTATTTTCAAGAAAGTTGTAATCTTTATTTTCGTTATTTGAATTCATTTGTAACGTTTGAAGTTTTAATGAAATCAATGATGAAGGCAACTTTTGACGAAAACAAAGGTGTGTCGAGCAAAGTCAAAGGGTGGTCTGGGCTTTAGAGATATGCAAATGTTTAATCACGCATTAGTGGCTAAGCAGGCATGGAGGATCTTTCAGGACCCTTCTTCTCTGGCTAGTAGGGTTTTGAAGGGGAAGTATTTCAGGGACTCGGACTTCCTTTTAGCAGGTGCCAGCCCTGGCTGTTCTTATTTATGGCGGAGCATTATCTGAGGGCGAGAGCTCCTAGCCCGAGGTCTAAGATGGAGGATAGGTGATGGCCATAGTGTCTCTATTAGTACTGATCCATAGATCCCAATGTCCTTTTCTTTCAGGCCAATCACTTCTCCAATTGACCCTTCCAAGAGGGTGGCTGACCCGATCTCTGCTTCGGGTACTTGGAATCATGATTTGATTGCTAACTCCTTTTGGCAGGTGGATCGGGAGGACATTTCACTTATCTCACTGCACCATTCTCCTATCCTTGACAGACTCATTTGACATTATAAGGAGAAGGGGTGCTACACAGTCAAGAGTGGATACCGACTTCTTCGCTACACTATGTCTGATGCTGCTTCCACCTTGGATTCTAGGGTGGCGAAGTGGTGATCCTTGATCTGGCAAGCAGAGATCCCACCGAAGATGAGAGTGTTCCTTTGGTGCCTGTTCTATGATGTTCTCCCCACCTCAGCTGGTTTATCTCATAGGGGGATCTCTGTGTCCCCTAGTTGATGCCTTTGCTCTGCTGTCTTTGAGACTGCCCTTCATATCTTCACTGTCTGCTCTTTTGTTCATTTAGTGTGAGAGTCCTTAGATCTTTGGGATGTGATTGAATGCTTTCGAGGTACATCTTGTGATGATTTTCTTTTCCATCTCACCTCGGTTTGCCCTGCTCTCTGGCTTTGGTTTTCACGACCCTGTGGTTATATTGGGGGAAAAGAATATGCGCTCTCATTGTGGTGATGTTAGGGAGGCTTCGGCCTTGGTTACCCGGATTCTCTGTTTTGTGGATGAAGGGGATAAGGTTTGAGGCCTCTCTCGTGACATTGCTACCCCTTCCAAATAACCTTCTGCTTGGTATCCCCCTGCTCTTGGTCTGCTAAAGCTCAACACAGATGTTGCTGTTCCTATGGAATGAGATATTGTTTGGTTGGGAGGTGTTATTTGGGACCACCATGGGCATGTGATTGGTTGCTACTCTATGGGGCTCAGGGGTCCTATGACTGTGGATCATGTAGAGTTGTTAGCTGTCCTGGAAGGCATTCGTTTTGTTCGGCGTATTAACTGGAGGATTTCAATGGTGGAGATTGACTCCCTAAGGGTTGTCTCCTTGGTGGACTCTCATTCTCCTTTTGCTACCATGGCTCCTATTGCAGATGAAGTTCATACTGGTTTGTCTGCTATTAGCTTCTCTAAAGTTTCTTATGTAAGGCGCACTGATAATGGTGTTGCTCATGCCCTAGCTAAGTTGGTTTGACTGTTTGTCCTCTTGTTTTTGGTCTGTTTCTATCCCTCCGTTTTTGAGACAGAGTGTTGTTAAGGACTTGACTGGTTAGGTTGTCCTACCTGCCTTTTCAAAAAAAAAAAAAGTTATCAAGAGAGTCCATTCTTTTGTCTCCATAGTGTGAAAGTAGTGTAAACAACCATATTGTAGTTATCATTATTCGCAATAGAAACCTAGAAGTCCAAACCCAAAATCCAAAAATAATAATAAAACCCAAACACAAGTGTCAAGTGGATTGAAGTTTTCTTTTGGATAAGGAGTTAATATTGTTTGGTTTGGTTAATAGTTCACACATTCACATCTTTTTATCTATGATTTTTTGGCACAATTCAAAATTTCTAATATAAGAATAATGAAAATTATTCAATGCAATAAATTAGTTTTGTTTCTCAAATAGTTACTTCAATTTCACTAAAAAATTTAAGCATAGTAATGTGTAAAAGGATATATGATTAATGGATTGTTCTTTACTTACAAGTGCACTCTCATAACGTACTATTATTTTATAATATTATTTTTTATTTTTAGATTAATTAATACTTGTTGTCCACCCAAAAAAAATTATGGATTTGCCATTGATTGTCATATAACTTTCGGCTTATTTATTCATTTAAATAGTGAGTTACATTTTATATTTTTAGTTTCTTTTTTCTATGTCATTCCAAATATCATTGATCTTCTCTTCTCTATATCATTCTAAATATTATCGGTCCTTATATCAATTTTTATTACTCTTCTATGACCAACGTGGTTCAATGACAATTATATAGTTTTTATAATTCAAAATTTAAAAAATGAAAGTGTTTTAGTGATTTAACCGAGTTAAATTTTTTGTTCTTTACTATCTCCAATATTTAAGTTATTTTTTATAATTTGTTTGTGAATTTCAGTAGTTTGTAACATGGTTGTTCTTTCAAAATGATCAATTTGTCAAATAAGTTCTATAAAAAAACTATGAAAAGAATAATTTCTTCTCATTCCTTCACGCTTTGTGCTACCTTTTTTTTTCCTACCCTTATCGCTGTATAAATTTGTCAACCTCAAATAGAACTCATGCGACAAAAGTAAAGGACTACTACAACAAGACCAACAACCACTCGCAAATCGGAAACAAATTGTTAACAAAAGGACAAAAAATGAATCTCAAAATAGAGAAAATAAATCACAAGACACATTATGCTCCATTTATTAAGTTTATCTTCAGTTTAATCCCTTAGGTTGCCAGTTGCAATTTCTCCTATTTTCTGTGGAACTCTACTCGGTTATCCACCCACAATTCGCAAATATAATTAATTTCCTGTATCTGTACATGGCCTTACTAAAGTAGGAACAATTCCCAATAATGTTTTGCGCACAACGTGGACATTCCACTTTGAAAGGATTAGGATGTACAAGTTGCATTGTAACATTATGTAGTTAACAAGAATAATGTCTAAAACTTATTAAAACCACATATCCAGTGAGAATATACAACTGTACAGTCTCTTGATTTTCATCGTAACTTTGGATTTTTTCGCAATGAAGGTAACTTATAAGATACTAAAATGGCAATCCAGATTCTAATCGCATCACACATGTAAAATGGATTTTTATCATCTAGACTGCTTGTAATAATCTCATATTTAATGAAATCATGCCTAATCACAATCATCTCGCATCCAAGATAGCTTACTTTCTCAATTACCTGGATAGGTCCGGGGGCCTCAAAACGAGCTCTCAAGCTCAAGGTTATTGTTTGGGAAAGGGGGATTTCCAACCTGATCGCCTCAAGCGAAGATAACAACGGAGGAGAAGCTGACAAGTAGGTTTATCAACAGCTTTGGAGATTGACATTTTATTTTTTTGGTTTTTTGTGCACAAATAGTGTCTCCTAACGGACTATCTTACTAGTTTTTGGTGTACTAAACTTTACGTTGTGGTGGGTGGTAACTATTTGCATATTTGTATATTCTTTTGTATATCTATGAGTGATTTTACTTTGCTACTCTATTGTCCTCTATTGTATAGAGTGACGACATAGGTCCGCTCCTCTGCCAATTCCGAATCTATCGTTAAATCACAACTAGAAATAATATATGTAAGTACTTTTATCTTCCTATGTATACAATGATAGGGCATCTTGCCCTATTTTTACTTCAAAAAAAAAAAAGAATTTTAAAATGATATACTAACCTATGCTTTGACTTAGGGGTGTGCAACGGTCGGTTCGGTTCGGTTTTTACCAAAATTTGAACAACCGAACCGAACTGTCTATAATTCAAAACCGAACCGAAATGTTGTAAGTCGGTTCGGTGCGGTTCGGTTCGGTTTGTTCGGTTCTAACTTCATCAAACTTCTTATCAAACAACGAACTGTGTTAAAGAAAAAAAGATATCAACAAAATAGGAGATTATGAAGCATTGAACACTGATATAATGATATTGTTTTCAACCCATAATGATTCAGAAAATGAGTTTAGGGTTTGAGTTTTTGACTCTTTGGGGACGTGTTGGATAGGTTTGAGATCAGAATAGATAGTATTGCACTATATTCGGTCGGTTCGGGTCGGTTCGGGTTGAAAAGTTTTCAAACCGACCCGAACCGCCCTACTCATAAAACCGATTTTTTCGGGTCGGTTCGGGTCGGTTCGGTCGGTTTTTTCGGTTTGGACCGAACCATGCTCAGCCCTACTTTGACTACGAAGGACGCTGTTAACCTAAAACTTTATCATAACTTTAAAGTTTTGATGCACCGAATCAAACGTTGAGAATACAATTAATAATAACAAATTAAGCTTTTATACCAAAATTTTGAGATTAAAATATGATCCTCCATTCACTTCTGGTAACTATCATTTATTTCACCAATAGAAGTACTTTTTCTCTAATAACAATTAGAAAAATCGTGGTCATATATATTAAACTACTAGCACATGCACCTTGCCACTTAAATTACTAGAAAAAAATGTTAAAACCTAATGTCTCCTGTCCTAAAAAAATCAACAACTATTGGAACCAAAAAAAAATCAACACCTAAACAAACTATCTTCCAAACATATGCCGTAAGAGCGTCCACAATTCGCAACAACTACAGGTATTTAGCTGAATTTTCAAGCAACCTATTTTTATATATTTCAATAATAAATTATACACACACACCCACGCACATAAATACATACATACATATTTGTCAACATAAGTGTTAGTAGAAACAATAATGGAAGTCCATAAGAGGTTCGTGTCCTCCCTAATTAACTGATTACTCAAATTATAGCCATTTAATCAATTTTCATATTAGTGTTTTTTGGGACAACAATGGTTTTTGACCCACGTAGATCGACTAAAAAAAGAAACTACGTAATAATGTCTACCAAAATTTCATCTACAATAATATCTACCAAAATTTCATCAAGGATAAAAGAGTCAACTCACAGGGTCTGTATCCAATAATTAATAAAACTATACATGAGCTATATATTCCAAATTAACATTGGTACGTGCTACATGGGTTTATGCGCAATTAATTAACCCAAATTTCTCTTACGTTGAAATCTCGAGCACTTACCTCTCTTACTATTATCTTTCGATTAAGAGGAGAAATATTAATTCGGTTTAAATATTAGCACTAGTCTCTAGGCAGATTTGATACGTTTGACAATTGATAAACGAAGATCATACACAATTAAAAGTTAAGTAAAGCCTGCACCAAAAAATGCTCGTAAAATTCTCCACCAAACATCTCAAAATTGACCTTTAATTAATTTACTTGTTCCTTAACCATAATTCACCTAACCCCAAGAATTACTTTGTTAAGGCTCGAGTCAAAAGTTTCTTACTAGCTCAGCTAAATGTGGACGCTTAACCCAACCGAAAGATCCCTCAATAATAAGTTTAAAGAAAATAAAAATAATTAAAAAACACCACACCAACCAAAAAATTTCTTTAAAATATAATTCTTTGCTTTGTAACACTGTTCCTTTTTAGGACTAAAGCTACGACGTTAGTCGTTGCTCGTTGAACTGTATTCCTCCGTTTCTCTTATAAATTCTATGCTTTGGTTAGCTTCTCGATCGATAATTACAAGCAAATTAACTATAGTTTGGTTGATACCAGTGTTTTGTTAATTATAAATTTTGCGACAATGCCGGTTTATGCTTCGTCGGTTTCCGGTGGCGGCGAGGTTGTTTGCGTCACCGGTGCCGGGGGGTTCATTGCTTCTTGGTTAGTGAAGCTTTTGCTTGAGAAAGGTTATGTTGTTAGAGGGACCGTGAGGGAGCCAGGTTGGTTAATTAATTAATCATGTACTAATCTATTTTTATTTTTCATGCTCTCGACGCGTTCATCATATAATACACTTCAAGGCTTTTCGAGGCTTGACAGGAACGTAGGTTATTATTAAGCTTTAATAGTAAACGAACGATGTGAAAACTTTCTATATATATTATCACTAATTAAGTGTGAAATATTGATAGTATTCTTTGAAATTTGCACGTATTCAATTGGTTACTTATAAATTTCTTTAAAAAAAAATTCATTTAATTCAGTTGGATATTAACAGAGAAAACTTCATGCATCTCTTTTCTCGCCAGCATGTAATGAACTTGCTAAAAAAGCCTTTTACTGACTATTAATTTTGCTTGCAGAGAATGATTTGTTCGTACCATTTTCTAGTCGGGTGCTGCTACAGGGACCCGAAAATAGGACAGATAGGGGGGACAAGTGAGGTATCCACATCTGATTGCATAATGAGCTGGCCATTGCCAGCTCATTATGCAATCAGATGTGGATACCTCACTTGTCCCCCCTATCTGTCACATTTTTGGATCCTTGAGGCATTTTTGTTTCTAGTCTAACCAATGTGATCTAGTGTCAGGGTAATCTGCATAGTGGATGTTAATTATTGGTCTTACTCATCAACCCCGTTGCGAAAAAATCTATGGAAAAGGCATCATGAAAAATGTTTAATGTATTTTCTCTATTAGAATATTTTATTTTAATACTTAATACTCGATCATTTTAGTGTTTGGCTGAATATATAATTGTCATAATAATAATAATTTATTTATAAATAAATATGGAATTATAATAATTTCTTTGAAATTAAATAAATTGAATATTGTTTCTTAATCCGTCAAAAAGAAAGCTAACAATCACATCACTTTTGCTTAAAATACTGAAAACTCATAGCCAAGACTAAATCTTTTTTTTTTTAATATTTCATCATTGGATTTTTTTTAAAAAAAAAGGTGTGTACTTTTTTTAAAAAATAATGTGTACATGCATCTTAATCATGCTTAGGTATGTGCTCATCTCATTGCAAAAAATATCTGAAATTAGAAATGAAGTGAATTAACAACTTGTTCAATTATATCGATCTATAATCATTTCAACAACTTATTAGTACAAGAAAAAAAAAGATAGATGTACCTTTTTCTCTCCAATTCGTGACAATTAATTAATTATGAGGTAAGTAAATTTCGCATAGAATCTCGAGAGTTAAAAAAAAAAGGAAGAAGAAGATGATAGACGATGTCTCTTAAAAATTACTTGATTACCTAATTATTAATTCACTCTTTATTCTTTTCCCCTCTATGTTTTACAGTTTTCTTTTCCATCTAATTAACGGCTAGTAGGGATACATTTTCCCCACCAACCGTAAGAAAAAATGAAAAGGAAAAAAAAGGTAACCAATAATTTGAGAATTGCTACACTATTTATTTGGCAAAGAGGAGAAATCATTTCCATGTCTTTCACTTTCTTCTATTTTGTCTTGTCATTTTCCTCTCTTTTTTTCCTTTGTTATTTATTTATTTTTTTAAATCAAAAGATACATTCCAATCATATACAAAAATTTCTACGGAATCCATCCTTATGTACGTATCTCGTGCATTTTCCAATCACTTTCAATCAATAAATCCTACTAAAAAAGCTTAATCCAAGGCACCTGATACGGTTCTACCAACCTCCAAATTAAACGGAGGGAAAAAACATATGGGCTTATTACTATTATAATATTTACCAAATATAACTTTTTTTTAATTATTAAGGAACAGATACTGTCTCTCACTGTTCGACTAATATAATATCAACCTCAAAGAGACAACCAACAACGTATTTCGCTTTACTTTATTAAAAAAAAAAATCTTCGCAAGAAGAGGCCACCGCCACGGCCATGACATATTTGAATTAATTTTCATAGAGCATTTGAAATCGCTACCAGGCCCCCCAATTAATCAGTTATTTTCTACAATCAAGCGAGGGAATTAATTTGAGACAACTTAAGCATAAGAACTGAAGTATCTGACAACAGTTTTGCTGATTTGATAGACTAATTTTGAATAACTTAAAGACCTGGGGGACTTAATAGCAACTTTAATGATTAGGGAATAATCTCAAAACATGAAAGATTTAAAAGATTGATATCCAAAAACATAATACTTCTGGTTCACACAAATTCTTTGTTGTCGGACACAATACCAATACACTTGGTAATCTTGAAAATTTTGTTTCTTTAATAATGCTAAAATCTTAACTTTTTCCCCCCCTCATTTGAAAAAGATGATCCAAAGAACTCTCACCTAAGAGCACTAGAAGGAGCTGCGGAGAGACTCATCCTCCTGAAAGCCGACCTCCTCGACCACGCCAGTCTCTACTCCGCCATCAACGGATGCTCCGGCGTCTTCCACACTGCATCTCCGGTCACTGACGATCCTGTACATATGATTAAACCTTCAATCTCTTTCCTTCCAAATTTTGAAGGGGGTAAAAAGTTTAATACCCGTTTGTGAGTTGGATTACATGAGCTAATTTCATATGCAGGAGAAAATGATAGAGCCAGCGGTCACGGGCACCAAGAACGTTATTTGTGCTGCTGCTGAAGCTGGAGTTCGCCGAGTCGTGTTCACATCATCAATTGGTGCGGTGTATATGGACCCAAATCGCGATCCTGATGCAGTTGTTGATGAGTCTTACTGGAGTGATCTTGAATATTGCAAGAACACCAAGGTAGCAGTTAAGTTTTAGTATATGCAAAATGAACATAATGAAATCTCGGGACGGATACATTACCAAAATTCGGTAACGATATATTTGCAGAATTGGTACTGCTACGCGAAAACGGTAGCAGAGCAAGTAGCATGGAAGACAGCAACAGACCACAACGTTGACCTCATAGTAGTCAACCCCGTCCTAGTCCTCGGCCCATTACTCCAAACAACAGTCAACGCCAGCACAGCACACATAATGAAGTACTTAACAGGTTCAGCCAAAACCTACACCAACGCGGTTCAGGCTTACGTGGATGTCAGGGATGCGGCGGCGGCACACTTGGCGGTATACGAGTGGCCGGAGGCAGAAGGAAGGTATTTGTGTGCAGAGAGCATGCTGCATCGTGGTGATGTCGTCCGTATCCTTGGGAAGCTCTTTCCTCAGTACCCTGTGCCTACCAAGTAAGCCTTCAATACTATGATCCGGACGAATACAGTAGACATTGCGGACATAGAAAGAAATTTTAATTAAACTAGGATACACACAATTTAAAGAGTTAATTGAGAATAGACTCCATGTATTATCACGAAATCGAATTTACTATCCGCACACCAACAATAGAACTCTTTCAGGATTTATATCTGCAACAACAGAACTACATGGGTAGTCAGCTCAATTTGACATTAGTATGGGGGCCTATGCGCAATCAACCCTAATTAAAATATTTGGATCCATATTAAGATTATTCCGATATATGAATCAGTCAACTGGATTAAATCAATTTAACCTTAATGTAGATATGTGATCAATTTCGGTACTCAAAGATCAAGCCTTCGTCATAATGGCTGTAGAAATTATAAGGTACACGTATGACATCCTTTTGGTTCCGAAACTATGCTCAACAACAAAACAAAATTAGCCAAAAAAACCCTTGAATTTAGTAACCGTTTTAGCCGAGTTTCTCTCATCTAAAGTATTAATAAAAACAAGTTAATAACCAGTTGGCTTCCAGATAAATTTCACGGGAAACACCCCTCATCTGTACATTAAGTTTTGTTTATCAACCTTCAACCTCATTTATTAGCACTTGTCACTCCTATGATTGACCAAATTAGTATTTTCACACCTTAATTTGTTAGAGGTTTGTTTGGTTCGCTGTAGGGATTATAACCGCAGTTACTGCAACTGGGACATCTTGGATCACTGTTTGTTTCGTTATAAATGATAAATACAATTCCACCACTTAATAACCCCCCCTGCAAATAATAAACTTGCAGGTGCTCGGACGAGGTTAACCCTCCAAAGAAAGGTTACAAGTTCACAACGCAGAAGATCAGAGACGTAGGCATCCATTTCACTCCTGTGAAACAAGTCCTCTATGAAACTGTCAAGAGCCTCCAGGAGAAGGGCCATCTAAACTCATGATGTCATCTCTAAGTTCCTTCAAACTGTTCGGTACTTAAAAATGTTTACTTGTTTATATTTTGCTCTTACAAGATGATTAGACCACAGGCCCTAATGCTACTATTTCACGCCAGCTCAGAAAATTCTATAAGCTTGTGGTTTCTTGTTACTGTCCTTAGAAATACAATAAATCTTTGTCGTAATTGAGGTTCTTTCTTCATTAGTTTCATAAGTAATTGAGGCAGTGGCAAAGCCAGTTTTTTTTTCCTTATTTTTTAAATCTTGGGGGAGCCAAGATTCCAAGATGAATAAATACCCTAAAATCTTTAAAACTGAGACCTATATGCCCTCACTTGTTTTGACAGTACTTATATACCCAAAGTTTTAAAAACTAAATATCCTAATATTTTTAAAGCTAACACTTAAATATCCTCTAGTTATTAAAACTTGCACTTAACAATCCTCAAGTTTGCATAATTGAGGGTATATAAGTGCATGGTTTAAAACCTTTAGGGTATTTAAGTGCACATTTTTAAAACTTTGGGATATATAAGTGTTGCCAAAACAATTGAGGGTATGTAGGTGCAAGTCTTAAAAACCTTAAGGCATATAAGTGTTGCCAAAAACAAGTTAAAGAGTATGTAAGTGCAAAGTTCCCTTGTGACCAGATTATAGTAAATGGAGTATGCAACAAGGACTACAAACAAATAGAGATGGATGGATGAACTTGTAGGAATTTAATAGATTTTAACTGGGTAAATATTAACATAACCCCAGAAGTTTGGTGGTTTCTACAAAATCTTCCTAAATTAATAAATCATATAATTAAATTCCCCTTGGACTTTGAAAACTATACTGAACCACCGCGGCCTATTGTGAATTCTCATAAACATCATTAAGGGATAGAACATAAAAAGCAAAATCACCTGTTTAATTGTTTACCTAGTCTTACCAGAACAGGGCAATATAGAAGTTATATTTAGTAGATGGGCGTAAAATTGGCCAAAGGTTGTCATATGTGGCCCACATGACAATAAGTGATCATGGCGCTTAAGTGAGACAAGTTCAAGTGGGTTTCTATGATTTGTAAAAATTCAGAGGATGTCATGGAATTTATTAATTTTTAATTTAAACAGCGAGAAAATTTATCTTTTTTAATAGAGAAGAGAACTAAGGATTAGGAAAATATAAGAGGTGAGTACGCCACAAGAGCCAGCAACCTCACAACACATGAAGAGAAAATGTGAAGATCTTTCTGGTACTTGTCATCCCCACCTCAATAAAAGAACTTCAGTACATTCAAAAATAACACCCCCCCCCACCCCGCCCCCCACAAATTTGTATATCTTTCGAAAACAAAAGTTGATCAGAGGGAGAAACTCTCAGAAAATTTCAGCTGAAGATAAAAATGGCTAAGCCACTCAGGAGTCAAGAAGAAAGGAAGCATCTCTTTCAGACCAGAAGAGGTAATGGGCATCCATTATTTTCAGATGTTATGCTCATCACATGCTCTTAGTCTTAGCTCAATGAAAACTTAGTAGTTCACGTGATTTGATGAGGATCCTAATAATTTTGTATATTTCATTAGCCTACATGGTTGTTATCTCACCTCAGGTAACTTCATAGTCGATCTTCTATGAGTTGCATCTTATTGTTGTCAACATTGTACGGAATTGAATATTTACACTACATTTTCAAAAGCAAATCGGAAAGAGAAAATGAAGTACCTGATTTTTTGCATCTTTTATTCTCCTGGAAATTGCTAGTTAGATATATACTGATTTATCAACCTCGCGAAAAGATGGAAAACATTGATCATTAGATGCTGAAATTGCCACATAGTCTATGCATATAAAGGGAATCAAAAATTCCTTGATAGTAGTTTGCAATTTTAACGTTAAACACATAATAATGAACACATGAATTATGGTGTCTTCATTCACAATAATTCAAAACATTTTGTAGAATGCCCATCAAGAATTTAAACATACATTCAAAACTATTTAATAACACTTCTAAGGGAAACCACTAAAATTTGCTATTATGGTAAGAGAGGTGCACCCAAACCCATGTTCCCACATTTAGTACCCAAATAAAGTTCCTAGATGTCATACAGATGCCCGATCAAAGCTCACCGAAACTCCCCTAAAACGAGAAATGTCACACGGACATCTGATCGAAACCATTTAAGTTTCTGAAAGAATATCAGAAATAAATTTAAACTTTTTCATTGCTATTAGTTTACTACTAGGAAAATACTAACAAGGGCTGAAACGGGTGTTCAAGAACTTCGTTCTAACTCTCAAGTACTAAAGGATGAAAGTATGAGCAAAGGCAATGTTAAGGCATGATTATAAAAAAATACGTGAACTTGTCTCCTGTAGTCTAGAATTAAAGTAGTTACAGTTTGCTCCTAGCGCTTCACTGGATACAGCATGGAAACATGACCACTTCTCTGTATTTGTTTTTCCAAAATAAATGGTCGTGTGTATCAACTAAACTCTGCTTTAACTAGTAAAAGATTTCCATCTATTCAGTTTTCGTAACCATATTAATTGACCAAAGGGCAAAGTTGAAAACAAAATATAAAAAAGAATGAGTATATATTCCACAAAATAGAAGATTTTCCCGCTGAAATAAAGGAAAATACAATCAAACTATTTTTCCATCAACAACTTCAAACTATTAGGTCACCAACCCTCTTCGTTTTGAAGCATAGAAGATCAAGTAAGAAGAATCGTGGAAAAGAAAATGGTTACATTAAAGGAACCACTATATTCTCAGGCAACAACTACTAACAAGCCCCAAAAGAAGATAGACGCATCGGCAATTTTCCATGGCTATTTATAGTGAACACATGAAAATGTCCTGTTCCTCAATTTGGATTGGTCTCACCTATACCCCACCCCTGTTCAAGGCCTTCTTGGCCTTGATAGTGCCTTCTCCAAAAAATAAATCAAGTCAGCTGTGTTTGGTCTTCACCTTGACAAATGTCCTGGTCTTAGTGATTTTTCAATACTCTTCTGCCAAAAGTTTTGGGAGATCATCAAACATGATATTTTCTGTTTTTGATACTTTGTACTCAGATTCCTCACCCCTCCACAATATCAACTTCTCCCTTATCTCTCTTATCCCTAAAGTTGAGGGAGCCTATTAGGTTTAAAGACTTTAGACCTATTAGTCTTATTAGTCTTCTTAATGGACTATTCAAATTTTTTACCAAAGTCCTAGCTAACAGACTCTCCTCCTTTTTATCCTCCCTAGTTGACCTAACCCAATTAGCCTTTCAAAGTGGTAAATCAACCTTGGACTCTTGTGCCATTGCATATGAGCTCCTCCACTCTTGCTCCTCCAAATGTAAAGAGATTTGTATGCTCAACATTGACTTCATGAAAGCCTTTGATCGCATCAGTTGGTCCTTTGTCTTTAGTTTGCTTCAAGTTAGGGGGTTTGGTACTAAATAGTACTAATGGATTCCTGACATCCTCTCCTTCTCCAAGTTAGCCATTTTGCTGAATGATAATCCAACTCAAATTTTCAATTGCACTAGAGGTTGATGCAGAGTGACCCCCTCTTACCTATGCTTTTCATTCTAGCAGTTGATATCCTCAACAAAATGCTCACCTTCAACGTTGATTGAGGGGATTTTTCTAAGCTTCACCTTAAAGGTGAGCTCAATAATGTTCATTCCCTTTAATTTGCTGATGATACAATCATCATGTGTAAAGCATCCACCTCCGACTTCTTTGTGCTCAAAACCATTCTCTACATGTCCGAGGATATATTTGGTCTTGACATAAATTATGCCAAAACGAACTTTTTCTACTTTGGCAAATCACCTACCAAAGGTGCCTTCTTTACCAACACTCTAATTGCGCACTTACCTCTCCCTTTCATTTATCTTCACATTCCATTGAAAAAAGAAACCCTCATCAAGCAAGAGTGATAGCATCTGTTAGATAAAATGTCCAAGAGACTATCCTTGTGAAAAAGTAAGCAACTCTCCATTGGTGGAAGATTGACCCTAATCAATTGTCTTAACTACCCTTCTCCTATGCTATTTGTCATTCTTCAAACTCTCATCATGGCTTATTAAGGCAATGAACATGATTAGAAGGAACTTCTTATGGAGTAGCAAAGACTCCTATTCTCCTTGTAAGTCTCTGGTCAAATGGAGTTTGATTTGTAAACGAAAAAAGAAGGGGGTTGGGTATTCTCAACCTCCATGATTTTAGTCTTGCCCTCATTTCCAAATGGATGTAGAAGGTGGTTCAAAATGAGTCTTTACTGGGTAAAGTTCTCACTTCTTTGTACTCCTCCCACTACCCAAATCCTAGCTGCACACCACCAAGCCGTTCAGCCTCTAGATTTTGACGGGATATATTCTATAGCAGTCGGGCTTTTAGGAGTTTAGTTCAATGGAAATTAAGCAAAGGATCCTGTATGAGATTCTGAGAGGATAAATGGATAGGTCCAAGTACATTAGCATCTCTTTTCCACTAGGACTACAAACTTTCCCTCTCGGTTAATGGCAGTGTTAGGTCTCAAGGGATTCTCCACAATAATCAGTGGAGATGACAACCATTGATCAAAAGGCCTATCACCAACTTTGGAAGAGATTATCTCTCTAATCTTCATACACAACCTACCAATACCAATGATGTGGCATGGTGGCCATACTATCCTTTACGCATCTTCATTGTCTAGTCTACATACATCTTCATCAATGACATTGGAACTACATTCAGATTTATAATTTCATTTGGAACTCTATGACCCCTCTCAAAGTGGAGGTTTGTTTTGGATTCTTAACAAGATGAAGCTTAATACTAAGGTGACCCTCAGGAAAAAATGTTGTTCGTTCTACAATGATGTCCCTGAAAGTGATGAACACCTATTCCATAATTGCTCTCATTCATGGTTTTAAATATCGGCCGATAATCTGATATTATAGCCGAGTTATCGTATTTGGGAGCTTTCCGCTATGATAAGTAGGATTTTTAATCGGTTATCTTTTTTTGGGTTTATCGGCGAGTTATCGGCGATAAAGGTACTTATCGGCTGATAAGGGAGGCTTTAAATATTAGCTTTATCGGGCCAAATTTTGAGTTGAATTTTCGTGTAATAGGCAGTTATTTAGTAAGTTGTTAAACCCGACCCGACTCGCTTTCTACAATTGGTTAGTGATTCTAAACATGATTATTTAT